CGCGCTGCGACAGCCGAGCCCCGGGCCTCCGGCTTGGGCGAGCGCGGCCCACGCGCGCCCCCACGCCGCCGCCCCCGGTGTCCCCCGCCGCCCGGCCGGCCGGGTGACCTTGGGCGCCTGCTTCGCCCTTCTGAGCCTCAGTTTCCCCGCCGGTGGACGGGGCACCCCGCTGTGCCGTCTTTGGGGCAGCCTCTTGGAGCGTTAAAAATGTCCAAATCCTACACTATTCCACATGGGAATCCTGACAAATATGTGTCCCCCCCAATATAACCAGGCCCCTCAATTCCACAGGAGCTCGAGATGGTGCCCGCGCCTGACTGCGGACCCAGGGCCGGGTCCCGAGGTGCAGAAGTGACGCGAGGAAGGCGGCCGCCTGCGGTGTCCCCGCGTCCCCTCGCCCCTCCGCACGCGGGACCCGCCCTGGGCGGGGCTGCGGACGAGTCCTGCCCTGCGCCCTGCGAACCCTGAGAGCAGCGGTGGGGCGCCCAGGACCAGAGCCTGGAGGGGTCCGGGTGGCAGGGCTCACAGCGGTGCCTCCTGGTGCCCAGAGTCAGGGGACAGTCCCCGCAGGTGGAGCATTTAGGAAGCGGGTGCGAGGCTGGCGCAGGGACAGAGCAGGAGACAAAGCAGCACCGCGGTCTGCCCTAAGGTGGGCTGGAAGCCCACGCAGTGGGAGGCAGCTTTCTTCCCCCGCCCACTCCCACCGCAGCCAATGTAGGGAGGCGGTGCCCACGCGGTGCCCACGCGGTGCGGGGCTTACACTCACTCCCGTAAGGACCGGCCTGGGACCAGCTTCCTGGGCACCGTCTCCTCTGCTGCTTGCCGTGCCCGGGGTTGGTGCCGCCGGCCTGGTACACACGGGAATCCCAGCGTAAGCAAGACTCCAGGAGGCGTGGAGAGCAGTGAGGACTCAAGGGAAGCCCACCCCTCCATGTGCATGGACCAGGCACCGGGGTCCCATGAGAGCAGAGACCCAGAGCTCGCCCCGGCCGGAGCTCCACCCAGGTTTAATTGGGTGGCCCAGGCATGGGTCTGCTTAGAGGCGCCGCTGGGGTTCCAGTGGGCCCTCGGAGTGACAGCCACAGCGCCATGCATTGTCGTAGGGCCCTAAGGATTGAAGCCTGCTTCGGGTTTCCCTGGAGTCAGCGTTAGTTGAACCACACAAAGGTGCCACTTTTGTAAAAGGCCCAAAGTAGTCACACGTCAGTTCTGACAGTTGCAGAGATGGCACCTCACAGTCTTTGCCCAGGCCAGGGGCTCTGTCCACTCCCTGTCCCCAACAGCTCACATCGGTGAATGCTTGGTGGCCACCAGGTCCCTACCCCTGAAACAGCCTCTCCACAGGGCGGCTCGAAGCCTGGCTGACTCCCCACCCACAGTCCCTAACCTCCCTAATGCCACCACTCTAGCTGGTCATCTGGCCGTTTGCCTCCATCCCCCCTTGGAACTGGAAGCCCCTGGAGGGTAGTGACTGGCCGGCAGCTCACCTGGCCCACCTCTGCTCGTAGCTGGCATGGCAAAGTCGTCCGTCACTTGTTCCCCGCCAGTCCCCAGATGGTAGCAAAGTCAGTAGGACTTTCCTTTGCAAGTTTTAACGATCAAGGGTAGATTCAAGTTAAGTGGTGGGGTGTGTTTTTATGTCCTAATGGTTTTATGAAAAGAAAGCTGAGGAATATGCAAAGCTTGACCAAACAACACGAGACACAGAGGCGGCCTGGGTGAGAGCTCACAAGTCGGCAGTGCCCTCTGCCTCCGAATTTCATAGGCAGGGTTGGCATCCTGCCACGCTTCTGTCAGGCGCGGTGCCCCGGGCCCCACGCTGTCCTGACACAGCTCCAAGGCCTATGGGGCGGTGCACGGGTCACCACGCTGTGGGTTGTCCTGTTGGCTCCTCATGCACCCTGGACAGAAGGTTGATCACAGAAGCAGAGGCCTAAAGAGGCTCGTGCCACGTCACAGAGACAGGGGGAGCTCGGCCTCCCAACGCCAACCCTGTGGTTACACCTCATAGGGGCTGTCACTGTCATGGGGTGGACTTGTACTGCTGACATGTTCCTCTTCCTTCCCTGTTTGCTGGTTTGGAAGGAGAAGGCCTCACATGGACAGTGAGCAGCCAGGGGTGTAGGGGTATCATCTAAGAGGAGTGACCTGCGCACACCCCGAGCTCCCCATTGGCATCGCTGGTTGGGTGGTAGCCCCCCAAAATTCATATGCTGAGATACTAACCCCCAGGACCTCAGAGTGTGACCTTGCTTGAAAAGAAGGTCCTTGCAGGTGTAGTTAAGACGCTGTCATACTGGAATAGGGTGGGTCCCCTTTTACAAAGGGGACATTTGGAGACAGACAAGCACATAGGGAGGACACCATGCAGACTGGAGTGACGATGCCACAAACCAAGGAGCCAGCAGAAGTCAGGAGGGGGGCCAAGCGGGTCCTGCTCCGGGACCTCCAAAGGGAGCAGCCCTGCCCACACCTGGGTCTCAAACATCCGGCCTGTGTGTCTGTGACAACGTAAGTGTCTGTCCTTTGAGCCCCTGGTCTGCGATGCTTTGTTATGGTGCAAACTGCAGCTGGCACGTGGTCCATCCTGCATGACTGTCCATGTCACAGAGGGTGAGTATCAGCCCACAGCAAAGGGCTGGTGGGGTCACACAGGAAACCCTGCTCTTCTGGGGGACGCCTCCCCCCAGAGCCAAGCAAAAGGAGGGGACCCACATCGGTCCCCTCGGTCCTGTGGGGCTGGGCATTCAGCCACCTGCTCGTAACCACATGTATGCTTTCCTCTCAGAACAAGTACATATGACAGCCTTAGCCCTCTGGGTCCACGGGGGCCCGGAGGCCTCCCCGTGTTCGTAAGGAGAGTGGTGCCTCCCTGAGACACGGATGCAGTGCTCCTCGCTACAGTAACACTGCCCAGCATCCCTCTGACTTTTCACCACCTGCAACCTCGTGTGTGTCTTTGTATTTGAGCCTCACAACTATCCAGGGCTCTGGCGTTTGGAGAAACCAAACAAATTGCCCTGGATAGTGGGTGGGCCACCACAGGGGCACACATGGTATCATGACTGAGTGGGGACCCTGAGTCATGTGTCCTGGCTGTGTGACTTTAGGCAGGTTACTCAACCTCTCTGTGCCTCATTTCCTCCTCTCATTGGCTCACAGGGTTCTCGTGGGAAGAGAGGCCCAGTGCACACAGAGGCTGCACTCGGTGAGCACAGAGCGAAGCCGGCTTTGCCCCTAACCGTCGGGTTCTGTGCTCACAGGCATGAGCTCGATATGAATGTCAGGCGCCCACAGAGACTGGCGCCGCCAGGAAAGCCACTCTACACCCGTGTCCGTGGGGAAGGCTCGCCCACAAGCTCCTCGGACTTCAGCTGCAGATTTGGCTTCCAGACACGCATCTCCACCTCGCACCCACTCTGCATTTCTGCACACACTTCCTGTGAGTGGGTGGGGAGGAGCCCGCCCCCGTGGGGTGCCCCACCACGTGGAAATGCAGGTCGGTGGGGAGACAGGCCGTCACCAGGGAACCACACCCGATAGGCAACTTGGTCAAAGCCGGCTCTGGGTAACGAGCCACCCACACAGCAGGCTGTTAGCCATTAGAACGGAGCAGCTCTGGCACCGGTTGAGTGCGGGCTGAGCCTGCGATGTCCCCGGGGCGGCCGGGCGCAGTGCGGTCCCCCAGACAGCCAGGTGCAGGGCTACACTTCCGGAGCTGCCTGGGATGTTTCCTGGGGACTTGTGGCTTGGGGCATGCAGGGCCACTAACACGATTTGTGGGCGGCAGTTAGAAACTGTCGAGGGACCTACTTGGGATTCCTCCAGTTGGAAGGGACAGAGAGCTCCCGCCCCGACTGCCTTCATCCAGAAGCTGGAGTCTGGACAGCTGGCTCAGGCCCATACAGATGACCAATGAACCCCTCGGCAGAGACGGCAGGATGGGACTCTCTAATCCAACCCCCGACTCGCCAAGCGGCGGGATAAAGGTTGATGGGGCTTCAGGGGGCTCTGCCTCTGCCCTCCGCGTGCTCGGGGGCCTCTATGCCAGGTGTAGGCTGGCCACAAGGTGACTGGCATCACATGTCACCTGACTGTATGCCTGGTTTGCAGGGAGACTGGCTGGCAGGAGGGAGCTCGCGTGATGGGCTCTTTCCACCGATTGCCCTTGTCACTTAGGACTCCTGGCCGAGGGACAGGCTGGCACCAGGCCAGCAGCCGCACAGATCAGTAGGTGACAACTGTGGCAGGTGCTTCCAAAGGAAGGAGCCACAGGCACGTCCTTGGGTGAGCCTGGAGTGGGTACAGTGGCTCAGGCCGCGCTGGGCTCCGCAGCTGATGCCCAGGACCCACAAGGGTGCCTGAGCTTTCAAGGCCCAGAGACTGTGGTGCCCGGACAGGAATCCTGTCTGTGAGCTTGCTGTGTCACCTGGTGGGTCCCAGCCACGAGCAGGTGGAAGGGTCCAGATGACCCTGGGAGGGAAGCCATGCTGCCGTCAGGTGCCACCCACCCACGCCCAATGGGTCTTCACAAAAAAGCCATGTCCGTGATGTGACCACAGCTCCTGTATGAGCCACCCCAAGTGCCCCCTTTCCTCTCTTCTCTCAATTGTGATTTTCTACTAACTTTAAAAAAGGTTAGATTCTGGGCAGGTATGGTGGGTATTTCTGAGAGGGAGGGGTGCTCGCTGCCCAGTGGTGGCCGAGCTGGGTTGCGTGCCCTGCTCAGGAGCAGGCTCTGTCGTCACCTGGGTGCGGGGACGTCACTCTCACATGGGACTTTACTGGTTGCCATCTGTGCGACGCTGCAGAGGGCACGGCTCTCCCCCAGCAAGGTCAGCCACCAAGCAGTTTCCCTGGACAGGTCGTCACTTATCCTTGTTTATCCCAAGGTGACAGCAACTTCACAAGTGGTACAGTCCTCACCACATGTCCTCGGCAGCAGTGGCCGGGATGCGGGAAGGTGCAGGGGTGAAGAGTGGGAGGGGCAGGCTGATGTCCAGGCCCCACGCCTGGCTGAGCGTCTCCCAAGAGCACCTTTGGAACACAGCTGCCACTTTGATGCCGGACACCTCTCGGTTGATCTACAGCCATGTCAACGTGGCTTTCTCAGGAAGGACCCTGTGTGGTCATTTCTGGAATCGGCTGGACGGTGGAGCTAGGCCTGGAAGGAACCAGAGAGAGCGGCCAGGAGCCAGGCGAAGTTCTACCAGCGGGAGGTCACCTGAGGTCAGGACAGACCCCATCCAGACCCAAGGCCATGGGGGTGTGGGCGTGGGAGGGGCAGAAGTTTCCATAAGAGGCCCAGAGGGAGACGCCTGCCTGGCACAGGTGCTGAGAGGTGGGGGCCGCGAATCGGGGGCCGGGTAAGAAGCCAGGCGCTTTGCTCCCTCTTCCTGAGCCTGTGCCCCTCTCCCAGCTTTTAAGGACACAGGTCTGCACCTTTGTGACCGTGGGTCCCCCTATGACCCACTGAGCAGATGGACAGATGTGACCCCAGCACCCAGCATCATTGGGGGGCCTCTCCGCAGCCACAGCTATGCGGTGCCATGCAACAGAGACGCATGTGTCTCCATCAGGGGCTACGGTCAGGCCCCCCAAGGCAGGGCCACTGAGGCCCACCTTAGGAGACAGGCAGTTATGAAGGCCCCACCCTGCCTGCCAGGAGCTCACAGTCCAGCGAGGAGAAAGGCGGAGATACAGGCAGTTGTCCAGGGACCAGCTCTGCCCCTGGAGAGGACGGGCGTTCAGTGTGGACCAGGGCCCTGTATTCTACGGACAGTTCCCAGCTGCACCTGAAGGCAGGTGGGATCCCCGGCTGAATGGGGTCAAGGGCGGGATTGTCTGTGACCCCCAGTGACAACAACACTCCTGAAACAACACCCCTAGTGCTCAGTGTCCCTGGGGGACGTCCACGGCCAGGACCAAGAGGGCAGGATGGGTGGGCCCTCGGCCGGCCCAGGGCCTTGGTTATTTGTAGTGACACAGGGGTCCTAAGGTGACCAGCATTAAATGGGCTTGTGGAAACCATCCTGGGGGTCAGGGCTGAAGACGGGGGAGGCGCGGAGACTGGGTACCAGGCTCACCCCCACGCAGGAGCCCGCCCTGACAGCTGCACCCGAGAGGCACAGAGCTTCAGCCCGAGGATTTGTGCTAAAAATAGAATCGCTGGCTTGTGGGTAGAGAATTTGACCCAATTAGAGATTACCAGTTTCAGGAATTACTGGAAAAGCAATCTCATTAAATAGGTTAAATATAGGCGCTAAGGCTGGAAAGTCCATGTGGGATTAAAGGGAAACCGAAATTACAGAAGCGTTTAGAATACAGAGTGCGTCCTGTACAGGGAGGGAGCCGGGGAAACGCCTGAGACGCAGCATGAGCTCCTGCTGAGGGCAGCAGCGCCCCGTGTGGCTGCTGGGGTCCCGCTGACGTCCCCTCCCTGTGCTGAGGGCTGCCGCTCTGGGTCACACCCAGTGTTCTCATGGGGCTCAGGTCGCCTCTGAAATGTTGGCAGGGCCCCACCCAGCCCAGCCTGGGCTGCAGGCACCACCTCATCTGCTGCCCGGAGCCGGCAGCCTCTGTCCTCACCCCCCTCCGTCGTCCGCGTCCCATCTATCCCCAGGTCTTGGAAATCCGCCCCGAAATCGCCCCCACCCAGCCTTCACCACCTCCTGCCAGGAGCGCTGGGGCCACCTTCCCATCACTGAGCCGCCAGCACACTTCAATTCCTTGCTCTAGAAACAGAGCTTCCGCTGCCTGCCAGCATCCCCCAGGCGTGTTCCCGCAGCACATGCGTCCCGAGGGAAGCCCTAAGGACGGCCGCTGTGTCTGAGTGCTTTCGAGGGACTCGGCACGCAAGACCCCTGCCCTTGGCTTCACAGCCTTTCAGCCAGCTGACCACAGAACACCTGGTGGCACTGGAGGCGGCCGGGGGGGGGGGGGGGCCCAGCACCCCTGCCCCGCCCTCCCCTGCACATCAGCTGCCAGTCGCCCCCACTCCTAGGTCCCCTGCCGCCTCCTGTGTGGCTGGGCACTGTCCCTCCTCTCTTCTGCCTGGCAGTCTCGCCCACGGCACTGGCCGGGAACCTTCTAGCTGCAGCCCAGAGCAGGGGGTGGGCTGGGGCTGCTTCACGCGCCTGTGGTAGGTCCTGAGGTGCTCACCGTGTCTCCCACACACCAGCAGGAGGGACGCCACACAGGCAAGGTGGCCCCGTGCCTCGGGGGACTCCCAGATCAGCTCTGTCCACGTGCCACAAAGACAGCCCAGCGGCCCCAGCCTGCCTACCGGCCGGGCCCCTATACTCACACTGGGGACAGCCAAGTGCCAGGAGCCCGAGTCCCCTGTCCAGCCTGAGGCACAGGGGTGTTGGGGAGACACGTAGCTTGGTCCCCTTTGGAGCCATGTCAGCGGGGGAAGGGAGGGACACTGGTGACAGAAGCAGACATCACAGCCAGCGCTGATGGGCCAGCCGCCTCTCACCCCTCCAGTCCCGCTGCCTTTCCACCCCCATGTCGGCCTTTGTAGGGTCTGGCTGCCACCCCCACCCCCTGCACTCATGTCCAGCTGCAGCCTCAGAAAGTGACTTGATTTGGAAGTTGGATCTTCACAGAAGCACTGAGGGACCTGAGGTGCCCCATCCTGCACTTGGGTGCCCCTGTAAGAGGAGAGGACACCGCGGGAGACAGCTTGCTCCCACAGGTTTCAGGGCCCACGGCCCTGCCGACACCCCAGTTCTGACTTCCGGCCCCAGGTGGGGAGACGAGGGGATGCTGTTGTGAGACAAGCGCCCTTTGCAGCCGCCCCAGAAGCCACGACAGTCTGAATGGCAGTCATGTTGCCGCCGTCACCCCCTCCCTGTGAATGAGGCACAGTGGCCACTTCCTACTCATCTTCACGTCCCTCCTCAGGCCCCAGGGTCAGCTCCGGCAGACACAGGTCCTCAGCAAACCCTGGGGATCGAGGGGCGCTGGGTCTCTGCACCGAGGGCCCAGAGTTCCAGAGCAACAAGGCTGGAGTCACCGTGTCCCTGGCACCTCAGTGTCACCCCGCCCATGTGACACGCAGGTAAAGCTCCCACCACACAGAAGCCGGGAAGCCGGGCCCTGCGTGTCCAGAGCGGAGAATACCGACGTCTTCCTCTCCTGTATATGTTTCTGTGGTTTACAAAATGTTATGACAGATTTTTATCATCAGAAAAATGCAATTCAGTATGATGAGATTTTATTGAAATCTAACAGGTTACAGGACCTGTGAGGACCAAGGAATAAATCAGAGCGTTTGGGGAGCAGCTCTGGCCGTTGTAAGGCACAGGAGATGTACTATTTCTTTTGCAGGTCAACTCAGATTATAAACAGAGAGAGAGAGAAGCGAGCCCGTGTATACATTCATTCCGTTCAGCTAAGTCCCTGCTCTCGGGGCAGCAGACCTGCCTCCAGGGCCCCCAGGAACCACAGCAAATGGCCTCAGGCTGCCCCCGGGGCATCTGGTCCACACGGCACTTCCTTTGATCAGAGGTCTTTAAAAGAGAGAAGCTGGGACATTGCAGGCAAGCCCCCGTCTCCTCCCAGCAGCAGCCTTCCCCAAGGTGCTTGGGCAAGCCAGGAGTAAACACTCTGTTATCGTGCATTAATTGATTCTTCTTTCCCTGGAAGAAACAGAGAGAGAATTCTAAGAAGCCATCGCAGCAGAGATCGGAGCTCCAAGGGGATGGGCAGACCAGACGCCCACGAGGGTGCTGCTTGTAGGACCCACTGTTCAGGGCTGTGGCCCCCGTCCCCAAGGGCAGGAGTACACAACCCCCGTGACACCTGCCCACATACCTGAGCACACCTGCTCACACCTGAGCACACCTGAGCACACCAGTGCCCGTGAGCCAAGTATAATAAATAGTATAAAAATCTAAAAAAAACAAAAAGCTTAAACATTGGGAAATTGTAAGGAGTCAGGCTGTCATTATTTGAATATTATAATATTCTACACAGAAAATCCATCAAAGTCTATACCTAAATTATTAGAAGTGATATGCATTTAACCATAAGACAAACATCAAAAATTACCAACATATTTATACCCGTGAAACAGACAGAATTTTCCAAAGGCCCCCATTTATAAAAATAGCAGGGGCCGGCCGAGTGGCGTGATGGTTAAGAACTCGCTTGGGATGCCAGAGGGCCCTGGTTCAGATCCCACATATGAGGGCCAGTGACACTGCCCTCCACAGCTAAGATGCTGAACAACAGCTCAACCTGGAGCTGGGCTGCCGTGAGTCACCAGCGACGGCGTAGACGCAGCTCAGAAACAGGAGGGGGACATCGGCCCATCTTTCCCTGGGAACAACTTGACGTCATCTGGTAAATGTGAACATTGCAAACCCTGTGACCCAGAGCAGGCTGTCCTGGGTTTCAGAAGCCTGAGGTGGGCACGGCACACGCGCTGACAAGGGCAGGCTGTGTTGTCTGCAAGACAGGACACAGGAAACAACCCAACACCAGTCACAGGAGAAGAAAAGTGACTAATGACACATCAGTCCAATGGAATGTTACAGGATGGTAAAAGTAAGCACAGTCTAGGCACATGCGCCCATGTGCCAGCTTGGGGGACGGTGACACTGTTTCCATAAAACTTGAAACCAAGCAAATTCAAACTCTGTATCATTTAGGGGTGCACACACACATTTTAAAAACCCTATTTTACCAGACCTGAGAAAAAAACTGAACTGCAGAGATGGCCAAGCTGCCTGTCACTCACAGACACACCCCGCCCACTGCTTTTCTCCGTGAAGGGCACAGAACCTTAAGTCATTTTTGTGCGTGTGTGTTTCATTGAATTCTATCATCGAAGCATTACCCCAAATTCTGTGCTGTAAATCAGGGCTTCTCAAACTTGGGCATCGGGACCCCAGGAGGGCTGCCCCCAGTTGTGGTTTGGTAGGTCTGGGCTGAGAGCATGTGTTTTTAACATTTCCCAGGTGACCTGCTGGATTTGTTACAAAGTGTTACCAATAAACATTTCTTTCTACCTCAAGAGCCCATGCTTCTTTATTTCCTGAGTTGGTTTATAACCTAACAGGACTAAAATCTGATTGAAAAGTTGGGGAAAAGTCTCTAATCATTAAAAATTTGCATTTCCTGGGACCTGAGCGGGAATAGGCATGAATGTTACTTGACAGGCATCACCCTCTCCTGTAACCAGGAAGTCAGAGGCGGCGACTCGTCCTCCCAAAGTCTCAAGCTGCTGCCTGCAGTCGCCATCCCTCTGAGGGGTCACCCGGGCAAAGCAGATCGGGAGCCACCCCCATTCGGACGCAGCCCACAGTCACAACCGCCAGGGGACGGAGGACTCCAACTGCCCTGACGAAGCCAGCGCAGCAGATGCAAGAGCTGCCTAGACGTCTCCTTCACTTTAGAGCCACGTGCTGGCCGTTCCAGCCAGCGTCATTTTGAAAGATGCGGGGTGAGTAGCTTCCAGACAAGCACGAGGTCTTCCCAGTCTCTGGTTCGTATCTTCATACACGTAGAAGCAGGCAGGCTCTCAGAGCATCGAGTCGTCACACCATTACGCAAGGGCTCTGAGGGGCTCCGCGCCGGGCACGACGCTCAGTGTGCGGGAGCAGCACCCTCCGGGCTAGCCCTCGTCTCCGCTGTGGCCAGGCCCTGCGTGAGCTGGAGGTGGGGACAAGTGGGGACACTGGGCACAGGGCTGCAGGTGGCTGGCCCACAGTCCCACACGGCTCCGTCCAGCAGCTCAGCTCCGGGGTCCTGGCTCACGCCTGCACTATACGCTGGAAAGAGGCGGCAAAAGGTGGGAACGAACCTCAGTGTGGCCGTGGGTCAGGCCGCGTGTGCACAGCTGTCCCTTTGCTGGGCAACCAGGGCCCTTCTCTGAGGCTGAGGGCAGAGAGCCAGGAAGGGACCCTCCTTCCTGGGCCCAGCACAGGCGTCCTTGACGGGCCGGAGCCCTCTGCAGGCGGCCCTGCCTCAGAGACCCACGTCAGTCATTTCGAGGCGGCCATTCTTGGGGGAGAGGGGTGGGCAGGTCACGCAATATTTCCTGCAACCTCCTAGAGATGTGTTTGCAAATGTGCCTTGAAAAGCCGTCGCCCTCAGCGCGGTTTTTCTCCTCATTAGAAGCGATAGAATCAATTTTCTTCACTGGCTCTGTGTGATGCCTGATTTACTTTGAAAGGAGAAAGAAAATCATTTCATTTGGGGGTTTCGGTGAGAAGGACAAGCTGAACAGCAACGTGGAGCACGTCGGCCGCACCGTCTCCTTCATCCCCCAGGAGCCACGTTTTCTTTTCCACTCATTAGAGACTAAATTATTTTGAAAAGAAAAATGCCACTATAACAACTGTAAGTAGCTGATTTTGTAGCTCTTACTTAGCCTTTTAAAAGATGGTGTATTTTTGCAAAAATTAAATTGCATCAAACTCAGACCCTCTGGTATGCAAGCGGGCTGCCCCCCAGTAAGCCTCCCTCTGCATCAGCTGTAATGTTTTCACAGCAAGCCGTTTTGCTCCAAATACAGTTGTGGTGCTGACGGCTTTCTGGAGTGAGCAGGTGTGCAGCCTGGGCCTCCCCGCAGTGCAGGTGGTACCGCCTCCTCGCCTCCTCCTGACCTGTGACCTCCTGCAGTCTAGCTGTGGCCCCCGCACCCTCAGCTGTCCTGCAAATCTGATGAGCGAGGAAGCCGCTGGCTGTTTTCTGTGCCACCTGGGGCTGGCCTGCCGTGCCCCCTCTCGGCTGCTGAGGGGGCTCCCTCACTCCTTGCCTTCCCTGCAGTCCCACCAAAAAGATGACAGCTGGTGAATCCCACTGTCTCGCCAGACCCTGCCGCAGCCTGGCGGTCTCTGACATGGGGACTTGTGAGCAGGAAGTTTCAGGGTGAGCTCTCAGCGTGAACACCTGTGAGTCAGGGAACAGGGGACACGGAGAGCTTCAGCCTGCAGGTGCGTCACCGGATGAGGGAGCCGGTCCTGACACCCCCAGGTGGACACAGTACAGGGGCCACCAACACCACTCACAGGAAACAGGCGATGGACTGGCACAGTGCCCTGTGCATAGAGGGTGTGGCTGGCACCAGCACTGACGCCCGCCGTCCCAGTGCCCCCAGCTGCCTCGGACTGCGCCCCCTTCCCCGCTGACCCCTCCACGCCCCTCCCCCCTCACCAGCACAAGGCGCTGCCCAGTCACACCGTCCCACTCACGCAGACGCCCCCACTTCCTGCTGTGCTGTCACTGCCTTGCCTTGTGCTCATCAGCGCCTGCCCAGACGGAGAACACCCTGTGGACACGGCTGCTGGCCTGTCCCTGCGGGCAACGGCAGAAAGAGGACTTGGGGACAGCAGCACTTCTGGAATGCACTAGCAGAGGAGGGAGAAAGAAGAGGGAAACCGAGAGGAAAGTGACCCAGAACTGAGAACAGAGGCCTGAAGCAGGAACTTTTATGACCTTTTATTACCTGGCCTACCCTGCCTATTAAACTGGCATATTAAATTTCCAAAGGTCATACACAGTATTAGCCATCGTCTCAAGGTAACTATTGTCACAGCAGGAATGATGAAAGCACATTTCAGAAAAAAATCACACAAGAACAAAATGCCTTTAGGAACTTATGTCTGTGGTATGAGGAAAGGTGCCTGCTGCCACCAGTCCCTCTGTCCGCACTGTGTCATTGTTTCTCACAGTCTGCAGGCTGGATGTCCGGGGTGAGGTGCCGACCAGTTGGTTCCTGGTGAGGCCTCCCTTCCTGGCCTACAGACGCTGCCTCCTTCCTGTGTCCTTCTGTGGCCGAGAGACAGAGAGAGAGAGATGGCTGCAGCCTGGTGTCTCCTCCGCTGCTCGTAAGGACACTGGGAGTATTATCGGGGTGGGGTGGCCGGCCGCTTCTCGAGGCGGAGCCCCAGCCCTTCCCCCCGGGGCCCGGCAGCTGGACCTCTCCCTGCGCAGAGCAGCCGGCTGGTGCCCGGGTGGCGGAAGTGCGACGAGCGGGCAGATGTGCTGACACGGGGGCAGTTCAAGGCTCCGCAGAAGGGCCGTGTGGGCATCGGACCCAGCCTCGCCATGGTCTCCAGGGATCCCCCACCAGCGAGGAGAAGCCTGGACATCCCACCGGGAAAGTGGGTGCTCCTGGGCCTACCTGTCACAAGTGCGCGTGGGGGTGGGGGCTGGTGAAGCCCTGGACAAGGGGGCCAACACAAACTATCCACTGTGTGTCCTCATGGTCCTTTTACCTTTGTCCCCTGTGGTCACCTCAAGCCTCAGCTTGTTATCCTGGTTTCATCTCGTTGCCCTGGTTTCCTTGCCCACACTGAGCATGTGCTGCTGTTTCCTTCTCACGGAGATACTCACTTGTGTGTCTGAAAAGCTGTACCCACCGCCGCCTTACTTGAAAATCTCCTTTTCATAGACTGCAGGTTATCTTCTTGACTTGGGGCAGCTGCGTCCTGACAAATGGGGCCCAGCCACGCAGCCCCGGGCGGCGTGTGGCATGGGGCGCTCTTCCCTAGTTTGAGGGCTGCAAAGGCTTCCCCATTTGTGTTTCCCTCCGGTCGTTTATACAGCCTCAGGGCTGGAGACCCAGAGCCAGGTCGAGTCACCCCCTGCAGGCCCTGACCTCGCATCATCTGTGCTCTAGTCCCAGGAGGAACCGTTTGCGGGGAGGAGGCTGAGCTCGGGGGGTCCTGGAACCTGGCGCCACCCGCCTCGCTCGCATCGCAGGAGGCCGGATGCTTGTGATTATGTGAACCCCAGAGATTTGGACTTTGCTTTAAATTCTAAATGTGCAAAAGTAGGATGAAAGCCTTCAGAGAGCAGTTTCCTTGTAAGATCAGCAATTCCTTTAGCTTCCTTAGGAAAAAAACAACACAAAATATCTCCTCAGATTCCCCTTTTCAGCACTCCTGGACACACAGAGCCTCATGCTGTCAGAAAAACGGACAGAAGACGCTGTCCAGTTGTCTGGCCAACCCACGTTGGGGGCCGGGGACACTGGTTCTTCATGCCTCTCCGCAGGCTGAGGTCTCCACAGTCAGGACGGCCCCTTCAGTCACTGCAGGACTCGGCCAGGCACCAGTGGAGGGACAGGAGCAGGGAGCATAGGCTGAGCTCCTGGACGTTACAGGAGTTAATGTCACGACAATCTGAGAACGCGGGTCACCCTCCTTTGCCGAGGAGGAAGCTGAGAACCAGCAGGGTTTGGTCGCCGTGAACCCTGACACTGCTCATTGCTGGTGAAACGTACCTGAAAACAAAAGCACCTTCCAACCCAGAACACCTCTTCACAGGTAGTAAGGAAAACCGCTTTGCCGTTGAAGAAGCAACGAAACAGAGTGGGACGCAGATCCCAGGCTAAGCGAGCGCAGGGTCAGAAAGAAGCCCCGCCCTCGCGGCCACGCTGGTGGCACCTGTGCTCACGAGACACATGGTCGCCAGTCCTCAGTAAGAGGCTGGACAGCACCATTTGCCACACACGCCGTCCTAGACTCGCCTGGTCATTGGGGCGACCACCTGGGCCAGCCAATTGGTTCTTTACAGGAGAAGAAGAAACGTCTCCTCTGCTTACGATGGGGGTGGGGGGCGGGGTTGCCCCTTGGAGCCAGGCACCCGCCAGGCTATCCCTCCTTGGACACCGCAGACCCACGTGGCCTCTCTTGGAGTCTACGCTTTGAAGCGATGGCTCCAAGTCCTTGAGAAAGACACTCCTGGGTTGCCAAGCTGGCCAGAGACTTATTTTGCTTTTAAGCAGATTTCCATCATTTCCTGGGGCTCAGAGGGCTTGCTTCCAACGACTGCACACTCCCTAAAGCACATGCTCCAGGAAAGGCAGGGCTGTCACTCCCTTATCTTACAGAAGGTTAGGGCTTCTTCTTTAAATCCGTGCTTGCCCTTGCTGTGCCAGCAGACAGCACCCTCCAGGGTCGGGATGGCACAGCATGGCCTGTGCCTGGACCTCTCTGGGCCCTGAGTCAGGCCGCTGACGCTGCCCTCTGCTTCTGATGGTTTGTGTGAAGGGACAGGGGACATGCCAGGTGCTCACCAGCTTTCGTGGGAGCATTGAGGGTTTGCGTGTTTCCTTCTTTGTGCCTGTTTAACACCTCAAACTGGCTGGCAAGAATCAGAGGCGCTTCCTTCTGTACGTTACAAAATCTAAGGAAGTCGATCGATTTATCAGACAATTGTCCACTGTTCGTGTTTCTCTTCTGGATGAAGGAAGAGATCTTAAGTGGAAGCACACGACGGGTCCCCATCTGTCTCCCCAGCTGCAGGTTTTCTTATGCGAATGTCAGCGAGGGCACCATGTCTCATAGACACGTGTCTGGTGGGTGGCGGGAACAGTGCGAGTCAGCATTTTAGCATCTGGATGCCAATGTGATACGTCCATTGTCGGTGTTCACTCCCCTACAATTCTAAGAGAGTAGGGTCATCCTCTGACCTGGGCGAACACACTCCGTGTCAGAAAATGCCCTGGAGAGGCTGTCGGCCAGCCATGCCCACCGCCCGGCCCCACCACTGCAGGACAGCCCACGCGTGGCAGCTACTCAGCAGCCAGCTCTATCCCTGTGACTTCGGATTTTTCTATAATATCATAATTTAACTTTCTTTTTTTTAAGATTTTATTGGGGAATTGGGGGAGGGGAACAGCATTGGGGACTCGGGGGAAGGGGAACAGACAAGTTGCTGTGCTTTTGTTCTTCAGTCTAGTTGTGGAGGATGTCGCTTCACTGGCCCATGTTGGTATTATCATTGCGCTCTTCCCGGGTGAGGCAGATCTGTTGCCAGCCTCTGAACGGCCACTCACGGTGGCTCTTGGCAGCTCACACTGGCTGCTGGCTGCTCACGCTGGCTGCTGACCACACACAGTAGCTCACGGCAGCCCACTGCAGCAGGGGCTGCAGCCTACGCCATCACCGGCGACTCCCAGCAGCCCAGCTCCAGGTTGAGCTGTTGTGTTCAGCATCTTAGCTGCAGAGGGCAGTGTCACTGGCCCTCATGTGGGATCCGAACCGGGGCCCTCTGGCGTCCCAAGCCAGTTCTTAACCATCGCGCCACTCGGCCGGCCCGATCATTTCTATTTTGCTAGAAGCTTTGATAATGGAGGGGCAGGAGCAAGTGTCCCCATCATGTGCCCCCCTGACCTGCAGATTATTTATTTGGAGCTGAAGACAAGCTCAGGGAACGTTCTGTGCCTCCCTCGCCTGCCTAAAAGGACTCTGATGCAAAAGCCTGCACCAGGGATCACCCCTCATCACATGCAAAGGGGTGCGGCTCAGGGAGGACCCCTGCCAAAGTCTGTCCCCTGGGTCCCCTCTGTGTCCCCGTTTCCAGGTAGCCTTTCTCACCTACTGTGAATGGCCCACCTCCCCCTCCACAGTCCAAAATGACATATACACCACCTTTTGCCTCACTGTTTTTGGAATTTTCATGCTTGTGTGACTTCCCCGAGTGCATGTACTAAAATTTAAATTTCTCCTGTTAATCTGCTGTGTGTCACTTGAGTTATTCGAGCAGCCAGAGGAACGAAAGGGCTGAGGGGACTGTGGCCCGTCTGCTTTCCTTTCATCCTCAGGGTTTTCTCGAATGCTTCATTCACTCCCAAATCCTTCAAGACGTTTAAAGACTTGGATTTGCATTAAGCACACAGATGAACTGGGGAGCAGTCACGTGAGTATTCTGCCTGCTGGGCTGGGGACCTGTCATCTGCCCCACGGCCATTTCCTCTCCCTCTGACCTCTCCGAGGCCCACGGAGCTCAGACAGTGCTCATGAATCTCGTTTGCACGCAGCATACTGTGTGTTTCTGTTTCGTTCACATCAGGCTCTGACAGATACTCCTGGGGAGGTGAATGCTTTTTATTTAGCGTATTTGCTGGGAAGCTATTCTTTTCACTAAAGTCCTTTACAGAGTATCCTCGTCTTGCAGAAACTGTGTGGACGGACACTTGCCCGTCACTACCTGCTACCAGACGTCCTCTGACCAGTGCCAACGCCCCCAGGACACAGACAAGTGTGTGGGCTGCTCTGGTAATTCCGGTCCTCACCCCCTCCCCACACCGGCCCTCCCCCACCTCCCCCACCCCCATCCCTCACCCCTCCACCCCACCACGCCAGCAGGGGGTGTAGCTGAGGCCCAGTGATGTGCGGCAGGGGAAAAAGACACCCCAAGCCCACTTTGCAGCCTCAGTCCCCTTCCCTGCCGTCAGCAGGTTCCCAGGGGTCCCACTGTCTACTTGGTGACACAGAGCCACCCGTCTGACAAGAGGACAAGGGTGTGAAGCGGAACCTGCCTCATTGTTAAACCTCACGTTTGTCTTTAAAAAGTGAGGGGGGGAGAAAGCTGTGACCCACTTTAACTCCAGAGAACCCTAACTGAGGGTAACCAGGCACCCCGTAGATACACATGTCCTGTTTCATGGCTGGGCCCTGCATTCGATATCGCCTTTGTTGTGATGCCCTCAATGTTCTGTAGTCAGCGTTTTTCAATGAATTACAAACATTCGGCAGTTGGAGCTAATTTGCCGCCCGATAAGTGAGGCCTGAATCACTGGCTCCACGAGCAGAAAGCTAGACCTGCAGAGAAAAGGGCCTGATACCCTGCAGGTGGGACTTGTGGGTAAGGGAGAAAAACTCGTTTCTCATATTCCAGAAAGGAAGACTGCTGTTTAGCCAAAGAACCAACTCATAACCAAGTCCCCACCACTAACTGGAGCTAACTGCAAATGAGTCCCTGACTCAACACCACCAGCCAGCACCGCCTTGCTGATTCCAGGTTAAAGCAGCCGAACTGGTGATGCCAAGACTCAGGAATGCAGCCGAGGAGAACGGCAGCCTGAGAGGCAGCCCACCCGTTAGCGACAGCCCCCTGGGGCCAGCCCTGAGCACTGAGGCTTGGCACAGCCACAGTCCCGAGTACCAGGCCCCCAGAACCTTAGCTCAGATCAGCTGGGCTTCTGTGGAGAACCCAGGGCCTGGAAATACAGCTCTCCTGGCAGCAAACGCAAATGTTTCCAAAAACCCTTTTGAAATGTTCTAAAGGAAACAAGGAGAAGGGGAAAACCTCAGCATATAAATCTTGGGAGAACAGTCTGTCAAATTTTTCATTAATTTTTTTCTTAAATTGAAGACTTTAAGAATAATTTCTGCTGGAGACCCGAGATGGCAGAGTGTCTGCTGCCTTCTGTGAACACATTAAAATTGCAACTAAATTATAGAACAATCAACCTGGAGAACCAGCTGAAGTCTGACTGACAGAAGTTTTATAACTAAGAATATAAAGAAGAAGCCACGTCGAGACCAGCAGGAGGGGCAGAGACGTGAAATGTGGCCCACACCTGCATGTGGTGAATAAGAATCAGGTGGGATACTTCGGCCACGGAGGTTCCTCCCGCAGGAGTGAAGAGACCCCACCCCCACACCAAGCTCCCCAGGCAAAGAGGAGCCCCCACAATATCTTGCTGTGAAAAACAGTGGGGATTCCAGGTGGGAGGGAGACTGCAGGAAACCCAGACGTTCTCTTAAAAGGTCCACACACAGACTCACTTGCTCACAGGCACTCATCTTGGGCTCCAACGGAGGGACGGTGACTCGGAGGGCATTGGAGGCAGACAGGGTGCAGACTGAGGTGTGTGGCCTCAAGACAAGGACTGGAGGACAGTCGCCTGTGTCGAGTCCTCCTCCCAGGGAGCTGGCAGGTGTGCTCCATCTTTCCTGTGTTGAGCCCGCCCCCTACGCCTACGTCCAAATCTGAATCTGATTGGTCTGTGAGCTCTGCTGCTCCACCCTGCTGACTCAGCTGGGACTCTGCCCCACCCAGCTCACCCAACACCTGAGGCACTTTCTCAGCAAGCAGCCAGCCCCGCCCACATTGCACTGTTTCTTGGAAAACAATAGGAGACCCTGGCCCCAGGCAGGAGGTGACTGACTTTGATGTGCTGTGAAACTTTTGCTGAGTCACTCCAGGCTCAGCACTGGCACCAAACCAGAATTTACATTAACCTGGTGACCACAACTCATCCCACCCTAGTGACTCCCTGACACCCTGCCTCACCCAACTTGCATACCACACAAGGCTTTATTAGTGGCAGGGCCTTACGGGAGCTGGCAGGTGGCAGCAAGCTTTGGGGTGTCCTGGGTTTTTGCAGAGCTACACCAGACTCAGTACTAGTGGTAGCCATCCTCAGTTTGCAGCATGGCCTCTCTCATGTACCTCTAACATTATCACAAAAAGCAAACAATTGTGGATAGCTTTGTAGCTCCTAACAGGCACTCCCCGGCCAGTCAAAGAGAGTGAGTGACCTGTGCCTGCACCAGAGCCCCTCCCAAGAGGCCCCAGAACCAACATACTTGGAGGTTGGCTTCAGACCACAGCAGAGCACCACCCAATTAGCCCCACAAGCGGCACACACAAAGGGTGGTCTCAACAGGCACCAGAGCCCACTGGGGTGAATCCCACTCGTTGGGGTAAGCTCCCTGCACAGCAGCCTGGAAGCTGTGTGCCAAACCCCACAGCCAGTCAGCCTGAGGGTCAGTCCCACCCACTGGTGCCAGTAGAGGAATGACTCCTGAGAGATGACTGAGGGCTGGACAAACAGCTGCTGAGCAGCAAATGAGAGGACGAGCGCGAACAGAGAGGCTGGGGGACTGCAGGGGACTCCAGGGTCTGCGGTGAGCGTCGTTGTTTGTGTCCCTCTCCACCTCAGTAGGGCGCGTGCAGGCTCATCCAGAAGAAGGCGAGAGAAAGGGTTTCCTGCACAAGCAAAAACTAAAGGAGGTCATCGCCCTTAAACCAGCTTGATGAGAAATGTTAAAGTGTGTTCTTTAAGCAGAAAAGGAAAGGCCGTAACCAGACATAAGAAAATATGAGAAAGGGGGGCCGGCCGAGTGGCGCGATGGTTAAGAGCTGGCTTGGGACGCCAGAGGGCCCGGGTTCGGATCCCGCATGTGAGGGCCAGTGACACTGCCCTCTACAGCTAGGATGCTGAACGGCGGCTCGGCCTGGAGCTGGGCTGCCGTGGGTTGCTGGCGACGGCGTGGGCTGCGGTCCCTGTGGCGGTGGGTTGCCATGGGCTGCCGTGTGTAGCCAGCAGCCAGCGTGAGCGGCCAGCAGCCGCAGTGAGCGGCCGTCCAGAGGCCGGCGACTGATCTGCCTCGCCAGGGAGGAGCGCGATGATGGTGCCAACTTGGGCCGGTGGGGCGGCGTCCTCCACAGCTAGATTGAGGAGCAGGGCGACAGCGGCTTGTCTGTTCCCCTTCCCCCAATTCCCCAGCACTGTTCCCATCCCCCCAATTACCCAATAAAAAAAATATATATATATGAGAAAGGGAAAAAAAGCTCACAGGTGATAAAGTGAACTGGCGTCTTAAGATGCTTAACCATAGAGTCGGGAGGACTGTGGGTGGGGCTGGGCCCTTGTTAACGCTGTAATCCTGACTTCCTGTTTATCCTTATTGATTTCTGGGGGAGGGATCATAATAAAGGGATTAGCCATCTTGGAACCGGGGTCTTTCTGCCTCCACCTGGGCTGCCAGTCGGAGCTCCGTGTCCGAGGTGTGCTTTCCGCACTGCAGTGGTGGCCTCGGTTCTTTTTCTTTTCCCGAATAAACTTTTTCTTTTGTGGATTACTTAGAGAGTTATTTTTCACCAGTCAACATAGATAAAGCCAAATATTTAATAAGTACAGTGACTCATACATTTAAAAAGCTACTACGAGGGTCAAATGACAAAAGTACCAAATTCAAATCAAACTACAATAAGTAGTTAGGAATACACAAAGCAAAACCATCTAAAATCTGACATCAAAAGCAAAGCGTGGGGGGCAGTAGTTTGCAGTAGTTTCCAGCAGACTCTGCCCAGCCAACCCTTCCCTTACTTTAATAAATCTTCCTTCTATATTTCTAAAAAACAAAACAAAACAAAAAAGGGGGGGGGGTAAAAAATATAGTTCTTTTAGAATATATTCAAATTTAAATATCTATCAGCTTAAAGTACACAGCTATAGACATAGAATGATATACATAAACCTCATGGTAACCACAAACCAAAAACCTATAAAATATACACAAAAAATAAAGAGAGGAACCCAAACAAAACGCTAAAGAAAACCAGCAAACCAGGAGAGAGAAGATCAACAAAAGAAAAAAACGAATGAGAATTGCAAAAACAACCAAAAAACTATTAACAAAATGGCAATAAGTACTTACTTACTAATAATTACTTTAAATGTAAAGGACTAAATGCTCCAATAAAAAGACATAGGGTGCTGAATGGATTAAAAAACATGACCCTTCTATGTGCTGCTTACAAGAGACTCATTTCCAATCAAGACACATACAGACTAAAAGTGAAAGGATGGAAAGAGATATTCCATGCAAGAGAAACAAAAGGAAAGCTTGGGTAGCAATACTCACATCAGACAAAATTGACTGTAACACATTGGATTTTTAGGACAGTGAAACTATATCTGTATGATACTATAATGGTGGACACATGTCATTAGACATCTGACCAGCCCACAGATGGTACAACACCAAGAGTGACCCTAATGTGAAATGGGGACTCTGGATAATAATGACGTATATGTAGGTTCATTTTAACGAATGTACCCTCTGGTGTGGGACGTGGACAATGGGGGAGGCTGTGCATGTGGGTGGCAGACAGTATATGGAAAATCTCTGTATGTTCACCTCAATTTTGCTGTGAAAAAAAACTTCTCTTAAAAAAAGTCTTTCTTAAAATGCAGTAAACTATTGCTACATGCAACAACCTATATGGAACTCAAGGGTATTAATGCTTACTTTGGGGGGGGGGGATTGTCAATCTCAAAAAGCTACCTATTGTTGTATTCCATTGAAATAATTAGAAAAATTGACAGACATTTGAAAAGAATAAGAGGGTGGCGGGTTAACTCAATTGGTTAGAGTGCAGTGCTCATAACACCAAGATTGCTGGTTCACAATCTTCCTCCACACCCTCCACAACTAAATTGAAACTACTTGATTTGGAGCTGATGAGTCCTGGAAAAACACACTGTTCCCCAATTTTTTAAAAATTAAAAAAAAAAGAATGACATATCACTTCATATCAATTAAACGAGAAAAAAATGTTAAAAACTGTAAGATCGGTTGAGTGGCAATGCAAGGAAAATGGCGCCCTTGTTTGCTGCTGGTGGGGCTGTGAGAATACAGCCTGCATGGAAAGCACGGTGGCAACAGACTCTAAATTGTTTAAACACACATACATTTTAACATATACCTGGGAATCCACCCCAAAGAATAACCACCCCAATAGATAAAGGCACATGTATATATGCAACGTTTCACGCAACTTCTTTCTTAGTGGGAAAATGCTGGAACCACAGGGAATGCATTCAGCAGGGGTGGCTGGGTCTGTCCCCGCCGAGGAACACAGCACGCCAGTAACGAGAACGACTCCTCTGACCAGACTAGCCTAAGGATTTCCACTGGGGACAGCCGAATGGGGGCGGGGAGCTGTAAAATAACAGGCAAGAATGTAGGAAAATAGAAAGGACACAGAGAGGTTCTTAACATGAGTTGTCCTGGGAGCAAAGAGGAGAAGCAGAGAGAGGAAGAAGGGAAGCAGAGAAGAGAAGAAAGACGATTTTCATGTGACCACGGGTACATATTTAAGTGAATGGAGTCGCTGAGCGAGCTATGCACATACAAACCATAATACAAATAATTTTAAAACCTGAACACTTGGAAGTCTCCCAGCCTCTTCTGCTGCCCAAGGCCAGGTGACCTGGCCCTCTCCTGTGCGCTGCTGTCCCCCAGTGTCCCTTGTCTCCCGGCAGCAGGGTCCCGGTCTTCTGCAGATCGGTTTGGCCATCTCGGACCTCTCCTCCCAGCCGTGCCCTCTGAATTTTGCTGCTATGCCCTTAGTTATTTCCTAAACAGAGGCAGTTCCTTCTCTAAGAGAAATCCTATTACAGCTGGTAGAACAAATGCAGTATTTCGTTCTCCTGGTCCTCTCAATCAGTCTGCATGCTGGACGGCCCTGCACTGGGAAGGGATTCCTAACAGCTGTGCTGCTGCCAGGAACATCCCCCCATCTCCCTGACCTAGAACCCCTGTGGGGTACCGTCCTAATGAAGTCCCACCAACAGACGCGTCTACTGGCCTCGCCGGCCCAATGTCCTCATGGGGCCTGGGCCTGTCCACCCTCAGCGTCCTCCTATCATGGGGGTTGTATTTCTCCCACAGTTCTCCAGGAT